TTAAAAATAAAATTTACAAGATTTTTTTGTGCAATTGCATTTTTTTGATTTTCATTCTTTTTTCATTTATTATTAGTAGAAATTTGGTTATAGCAGTTATGGCAACTAATATATGTTTTTAAAATATTGGGTTTATGCCCTTAAAAACAATCACTTGGTTCACCGAAATTGCAACTATTGCTTTTCATTTTGAAGAATTGAAGAAAAAAAAATTAAAATTACTATTAAACCAATTATCGATAATATTTTACTAAATATTATTATCATGATTATAATCATGATGACTTGACAATATCACATGATTTTCAAAACTTTTCTGGGTGGCGATTTTACCTGATCACTACCTATCAGAAAATAGCTCTAAATCTGGTAAAGAAATTACCAGAGAACAGCTCCAAAGCTGGCAAAAAAAATTACCAAAGAACAGCTTCAAATCTGATGAAGAAAATTATTACAAACCTAGTAAAACTAATAAAAATTTATTAGAAGTTGAGATAAATTAGAGTAGGTTTTTACTAAAGAACAGCTCTAAACCTGACGAAGAAAATTATCAGAAAACAGCTCCAAAATTTCTAAGAAACCTACTGAGAATAGCTCCAAATCCAGCAAAGAAAATTCTTAAAAGACAGCTTCAAAACTTCTAAGAAACAACTCAAAACTTCTAAGAAACCTACCAGAGAATAGCTCAAACCCTGGTGAAGAAAATTACCAAAGGACAGCTCCAAATCTGGTGAAAAAACTATAAACTAAACTGAATTAGAGTAGGTTTTGTGATATAAAACTAATAGAAAACAGCTCTAAACCCAGGAAAATCACCAGAGAATTGCTCCAAAATTTTCAAGAAACCTACTAGGAAACATCTTTAAACCTGGCAAAGAAAATTATCAAAGAAAAGCTCCAAACCTGACAAAGAAAATTACAAGAGAAAATCTTCAAAACTGCAAAGAAACTAGAAGCTGAAGCCAAAATAGAGCAAGTTTCTTAATAGAAAACTACCAGATAACAGCTTCAAATCCTGTGAAGAAAACAGCTCAAAAATTTCTATCAGAGAACAGCTCCCTGCTTGCAAAAAAAACTATTAAAGAACAACTTCAAACTCAGCAAAGAAAATTATCAAAAAACAGCTTCAAACCCAATGAAGAAACTAATTAAAAGCTAAAACTGAATCAAAATAGGTTTCTTAGTAGAAAACTACTCAAAACCAGCTTCAAAATGCTAAAGAGAACTACCAGAGAAGAGCTCCAAAATGCCTAAGAACCTACCAAAGAGCAACTTCAAAATGTTCAAAGGAAACTGCCAGAGAACAACTCCAAGATGTTGAAGAGAACTACTAGAGAACAACATTCTGAAAAGAGTTCTTCGACGTTTTGGAGCTTCTCTCTGATAAAATTACCAAAAAACTAAAGAGAACAGCTCCAAAACGTCGAAGAAATTTCTAAAAACACCTAAAAAAATATTAAATAGTATTTGTTCTGGTCAGGTTATTGAAGTACGTATTATGTATAAATTTTAATTGTTTGGTTTCACCAATCAAAAAATGTTTATCTATAATCTATCATCATAACCTGTTACAACTGGATTTATAATTTAAAAATCTATTTTTAGATGGCTTGTAAAAAGTATACAATATTTAAAAAAGTAAGCATCAACAAATAATTTATTATGTAAATCAATATTTTAAATATCAAATTATATAGTAGAATGTTTGTATTATATTATAATATAGTTAACACATTTTTGCAAAAAAAGCCATAAGCCATGTTTTTATTTGCCAGTCCTCATATAAAGGATGATAATTTTTATTAGTACACTTTTGCAATTTACTTATAAAAATTTAGACTTGTACAAAGTGTAAAATTTTTTTTTAGTTTTGGAAACATATAAAATTTTAAAAAATCTTGAAAAAATTTTAATAATAAAAATTTTTAAATATAATCTTTAAAATTTTAATACATAAAAATTTATTAATATTTTGAAAAAAGTTTTATAATAAAGTTTATAAAATGTTTTTAAAAATATATTACATAAGCAAAGTATATCTCATATTATTAATAATTATTATTTTATTTAAAAAATACCAAATACAATTTAATTTTCTAAGCAAATTTGTTTGGAATATAATTTAAGAAATAAGAAGATTAAATTATTAAAACTGAAGACCAAAAGCTGACAGTACAATTTTTTCAGTAAATTTAAGAACTATATATAATATTTGCAGAATATATATAAAAAATATTAAGCTAAACAAGTTTACTTAAGATACTAAAACGGATTGTTTTAGTAAAATAAATAGTTATTCTTTAATCTGTAGAGCAGACAAATTTGCTTACATTAATTTTTTTAAAATTAATTTTATAATAAAATTTTAACAATTAATTTTAACAATATGCTTTCTAAATAAAAAATATTTTTAAAATCTATTTTATAAACTTTGTTAAAAAACCTTTTTAACTTTATTAAAAAAACTTTAATTAGTTAAAGTTTAAAGATTGTATAATATTAGAGTTTATTATTAAAATATTTTTTAAATCTTCTAAAATTATATATTTTTGAAGCTAAAAAAAATTTGCTCTTAAGACAAGTATTAATTTTATATATAAATTACTAAACTTGTAATAATTAAAATTGGAATCTTTAATACTGTATAGACTAAAAAATTGTATTAAAAACTATAGATTTAAAATTAATATTTAAAAAGTTTATAGAGATATAGTGATCTAGTGAAGTGGTTAGGTTGTCAACTTTTCAAATAGTAGGTTAGGTGTTTAAATTTCATTAATGACAAAAATTTGGATAATCACCTATATAATATTGTATTATGACAACTGTTACTAATAATTAGATTAGAATACTCTGTAATGGCAATTGTACCAGCATAACTAGCAGGTTATAGAGCATCTGTACAATATTAAAGTTATACAGAAAAATGCAAACTGACAAATCAGATGATGCAAATACTAGATAAGTTCTTGTGACTATGTAAATCTGTTGAAATTAAGTAACAAGAAGTCTATTTAAAAGACCCAAGTAAAGAGATAGCTAAATTTTTAATGACTCTACTATAAAGGCTAGCTTAAAGAAACAGATACCAAGGTTATAGTACCTGGTTATAGTAGCTAGACAGACAAGAATCTCTAGGTTGGGAGTCTCAGAGGTACCACCAACAGGCCACTAGAACAAACCAAAGAAAAAGGATATCAGACTGATCTAATATACTGATAGACTGGTCATAGTTCTATACAGACTATTTAGATTAAGAGTTTGGTAAAAAGGCAGATAAAAAGGCAAGAGTATACTAAAGTACTGAGGTTATGCTGTGAAGTAGATGCTGAAGTCCAAATGAATTTTACAAGAACATAGTAGTTTAATAATTAAGCCCTAACTACAAGTGTTAGTTCTATTATAGCAATATCTAAATCAGCTATAAAAATAAATACAGAAGGCTCTGGAAGGTTTACTTCAAGAATAAAATAATTCTAAGGTTAAGATGATGATCTGAACATCAGGTATGACCTAGTGAAGTTAACAGGTTTGTAGGTTTAGAAGGTTTAAAGTAAAATATTCAAGCAGGGGTGTTAGATATAGCAATTGGTAGAGAACCTTTGAATGAACTTCTTAAATAAGTAATATAAAAAAGTTACATATATAGCCAATTGTATACTCTTTCTGTAATGGTTTACTGAACCACATTTATCATTATTAGATAAAGTTAAAAGATCCAAGAGGTCACCTTAACACCAAAAAAAAATAAATAAAAAGTTTATTATAGATAAACTAAAAAATTTTTTTTAAAAAAAATTTTTAAAATTGTATATTTTTGATTTATAAGTAACCTAATTTTTTTTCTTATAATTTAAAAATAAATATTGCAAATAAGTAATTCTTATTTTTAAATATTATTATACTGAATTTTATTTAAATATTTTAATATTTTAAAAAAGTAAATCAAAGCTAAAAAAAATATAAAAAAACAAACAAATTTGCTTGCAAAAGTCTACAGATTAAGAGATAAATGTTTTTAGATGAATAATTTTTTAATTAATTTTTGTGCAATAGATTTGCAGAAAAAGTTTTCTTTTTGTTTTTTGTTTTGGAGTTATTGTAACCTAATGTATATAAAAATACTTAGTAAATAGGAATCATTAATTTATTAAAGAAGAATAGTAATATAATATTATAATTGTATATTTTAAATATTATATAAATTATATAGATAAGAATGAAGTATTGTACTATTAAAAATTAATCAAATAAGATAAAATTTGTGTTTAGTAATTGTAAAGTATTTAGCTAGTATGTAGTTTTGAGAAATACAATATTATATATTTTATATTCTAATGTTAAAATAATAATTGTATTAATAAAAATAGATTTGATGTTTGTAGCAAATATTAACTTGATAAGGCTAATCTAAAGGTTGGCCATTTAAGTAATTTGTTCTAGCCTATTTTTAAATTAAACAATTCATAATATAAGCAAAAACTAAAGTGAAGACTTAAAAATATTGGTGCTAAGAAGGTTATAAGCTAGTTTTTTATATTATCAAAAAGTATAATTTGTAAATTGAAATGCAATTTTGTAAATAAAAGAGTTATAATAAATATGCCAAAATAGTAATATTATTGTTTTCTCTTAATTAATTCTATTTTTAACTGAATATAAATTTGTAAATCTAAGATTAATTATAACTTAATTGTGATAATTATCAAAAAGATTAATAAGAAAAGTTTGTGATATCTAAGTTGTTTTTTGAAAACAAAATATTTAGAATAAAAAAAGAAAAAAAATTCAAAAGAGATAGTTTTATTATTTAAAGTATATAGAATATTGTAAGTTGAATTAGTTAAAAATGTCTAGCCAATATGCTTAATAAGCTGAATTATTTTAAAGTTTGTAGTTAGATAATTAGAACTATTAATAATTAGATTGAAATATAAAAGAATATTGATAAAGAGCCAAAGGTTGTTTTGTAATTGTTGAATATAAATATAAGAAGATGTTTTTAATAGATTAGAATTATTAAATAATTTAAGAAAATTAGGAATATGGTATTATAATTGAATATTCTAAATGTGTTTGATATTGTAAATTTGAGAATGTAGAAAAGTGCTAGAAGGTATTGTATAACAAAGTTTGACTTTAAGTTTAATAAGACTAATATGCTAAGTAAAAAATTTTGTTGTAAATAGATTAGCTAACTACAATGTTTAAAAATAATATTTAAGAATAAGAAAGATAGCTGTTTTGATAATATAATAAGTACTTAACTTTAATGCAAACTATATTGATTTGATCCATTCAACTGTGATTAAACATCTATTATCTCTACCTTCTGCCCCTACTATCTATATTTCTAACTCTCCCATATTAGAAATTTTTAAGCAAGGAGAAGCTACATATATACATAAACAATATTCTCTTACCAATACAGCACAAAATACATTTAACTTCTATACTGATGGCTCTGTAATTGACATCGGTACAGATCAATGTACAATGAGTATTGGATAGGTACAAGCTAATGACTCCAACCAAATAATTCACAAATTCTCAGCTAAAATCCATTTTTGGCCATCTTCTTACAAAG